ATTTTTTTTACCATCAAACTTGTAGTAATTACATTTTATAAGTTATATGTCAATATTATTCTTATGTGATAATGATAAAAATTATATTTTTATACGTGGTAGTACCACGCTGCAGCTATATTGTAGCACGAATGGTTCGGCTTAACCGGGGTAGGACCACGCTCTCAAAGAATATCAGCGTAACATATCCGGTTCTCGACACTTCATCATACAAATCACAACAGCATATTATGCTGCTGTATGCTGTTGTGTTTTATATGGTGTGTCGAAAACCGGAGACCATTTTTACTGTAAATGAGGCATTCCATCTTAGTCCTCAGTGGTGACAACGCGTCTATTGTTTCTTAATCGAGGATAAATGTATATGTCTATGGGCCACAGCATCCACTTACGTGTGACTGTGTGTCTGTTTTTCATCATTATTCTATAAAAAAATATGTGCAAAACCATTAATTGGTGTAAAACTAAATGTATTGTTTTAACCTATTTTGCCAGTGATTTATAAATTACCATTTAATTTATTAATTACTAACGATAATATTTTAGTTACCGTTTTTTATTGTAACAATTATATTTTAGATTTCAAATGGCCTGTACTTTTTATTTTTTATTTAATTTACTTTTTTATAATGTAAAATGTTTTATGTGACATCTTAGACAATATTTCATCATTGTTACTAAAAAATAATTATTTGATACAATTTGTAACTATAGTTGAGATTCGAATACACGGTCCATAACCGATCTTGGATGTATAGCATTTTTACACTGAATGACTTACTACACAATTTTTTTTACATTGAATATACTTTTAATAATAAGCGTTTGTGCTAAAACATTGGTTATTAGAGTGAAACTAATTGACGCAAGACAAATATGACACCACTTCTTGTTGTTAGATAACCTCTTTCACAAGCCATAAAACACTTAAAAAATGGATTATAAAGTATGACTTATTACAGATTTCAACATTATTTGATCGTAGTTAACGTAGTTGCACCGATAACTAAGGCGATTTACAAACTTAAATATTCTTTATTCTAACTTTATACGCTGATATAGAATTTAACAATTATAATTACCATTATCAGTGAGGTATTAGTGCTGTTTTATTTATTACGGGTCGTTGCCCGCGGCTTCACTCGTGGTAGTCCTAAAGAAACTACTACCGGAACACGAACACGTAACTAGACGATCAGTCGATACATCTGTCCTTGTTGCATGTCGTGAAAAAAGGTGAAGAATCTTTCATAACTAATTTTAAAAAAAATCAATAAATAGTGAACACTATACATTAAATAAAACTACTTTTACGGATTTTGTCGTCTCTCGTCGTATATGTAATTTTAATGCCCGACGTCTCCTAAGTCACTGCCCACCTGCAATTCGTGATTGTCAAATTGTTAAAAAGTGACCGTGAAATATATAATTAATAATAGGGTATTTCACACCATGTAAAAAAAATCAAAAAATATATTTTTATGATAGATTATGTAAAAAGTAAACGTGAAATATTTATTTCTATTTATAAAAAAGCATTATAAACTTTATATTTCAATTTTCAGAATATTTTTTCTAATCTGTGCCTCGAATCAGCAAAACGCTGTCCGCAATATTAGATACCGTTGTGACGTCACTGGTTAAGAGAACTAGCTAGTGTGCTGTGTTATTTTGAAAATTTTCAAGTTACCATTACGATTGTTGAGTTTTATTACGAATTTTATTGAAAAGGAAGACGGATTCGTAAAATCAGAAAGTACTTATCTATCAAGGACATATACATTGATGTCGGCAAAATGTTTTGCAAGGATAAATACATTGATGTTGGCAAATTTTTTTGCATGCAATCAAGATTTTTGTTCTGCCGAGTTGAGGAATGTTTAAACATCAATGTAAGTACCTATTACCAACTTTTATTTATACAATAACAGGTTAGAATGTATTTTGATAATACATAGTTATGCTTATCTATGATTACAATCTCACATAACCTAATTCTTGTTTTCAGGTCCGGAAAGGAATCTTTCGGGGATGACGCAATAGGCAGCTCAAGAGGGTGAAAAATATATGCATAGTAAAGTGTACAATATATCCGGAACCGGATTTTGTAGCCAATGCCTTCGGGTCTCTTTTTGCAAGATTTAACCAAGTATTTCTCATATTTAAATCAGTTACCACTTGATCCATAACTTCCCTGGCGTTCTTATGCTTGTATTTTTGCATTCAGACACAACACAACAGTGATATAGATGATCATCATTAAACATCCAAAAGTATCTTATTCCTTTGCAAAATCGGCAAAATTCTAGGGCAGTGACGTCACGAGTCTAATAGCATGGCGGCTAGCATTTTCACGCGAAAATTTAAAACGATAGATTAAAAGTAACTTTTTGACACTATTCGGTTTTAAAAAAATATTTAAAATTATAGTCGTTCATTACTCGCATCACTCTAGTATTCATTTAAAATACTTTATGAAATTGGGCGTATATAAGTAATGAATGACTACTCATATATAATATCTCTAAGTAACTAGAGTCATTGCAATATTTTCTTGACGTAATTGTAATTGTAACCGTAATTGTTTAATTTGATTTTATCCTAAATTTAAATAATATTATAGTCTGAAACGAATTGTTAAATTTGTTGCAATCAATTTCTTTCGTAAATCTTATCACTTAAATGCGTGAGGAAACCATAGTTTTAAATATAAAATCGTTATTCACATCTTTACACATTAATTTGTAATTAAATAATGATTTTTTATATTTACGCGAATACTAAACAACGAGTAAAACTATATTTATGGATTTTATCGAGTTTCATTTTTTTTAATTCCCCAAGTTTCGGGCGTATTACAGCACTCATGGTCTCGTCGGAGAGTGAGGTGTTTGACGTCCTGATCTCATTGTTAACGAAGGCTATCCCTCTCAACTTTTCAATATAACCTTTTTTCCGAAACGTTTGTAATTAAAATCAGTTTAAATGAATGCGACATAATCTGTAAAAACAGAAGTAGTTTTAATCGACACTTAATCGAAACATTAAAATATACACTACAATGTGCTTCATTGGATAAAATACTGCGAAACTACACATTTCAGACAAGTATTGTAATTTAAAAACTAAACTACCAGTTCATTGTTGAGTCAGCAGTGGGGTCTACTATGAGTCTTAAAAGCTACTATCAGGTAATGCTTTACATAGTTTGAAACAAGTTTGTTCTTATTTTTAGACTGTATCTGTTTCAGATTCCCTCTGCCAGCTCTTACGATAACCACGGCTGGATATGGGATGGTGTTAGTTTTATTTTATAATTTGCTAATTCTTTTTTAAAACCAGAGACTGGGTTGCGGATAAGGATCCGAAAATATGCTTTATATGATATGAATATGCTTTATGCTAACAATACGATTTAGATTCCCATCTGACTGCAGGTTAATCAAATATACACGTAAAAAGAAGTAAGGTAACGTTTGTGCCTGAGAAATAAGAAGATGAGTCAACGCACGTCAATAATTTCAACACCGATTTTTAACACTGTTTTTTTTATCTTAACTCGGATGTTAATATGTGTGTATGTCCGAAATTAAAGGAACTGAAAATGCATGAAATGAAATCAAATAAAACTCTTTATTTTTCGACGTAAGAAATTAAAATTCGGTTGCCAACGTTAACTTGTTTTAATCTACTACCGGTTTTATAATTATTTTACTTCCTCTGTCCGGAGTAAACAATTGTATGTAATATGTGTGTATGATATATATGTATAAATGAAAATAATATAATATTAAAATTCTGTGTTCACCCACTTCTAAACGTCTGAATAATCTCAAATTTTGCAGACATATTAAGAACCGATGACGATTTTTTTAAGAGAGGGTGCAAACGAGCATGCGGCTCACCAAATGGTAAGTGACTACCGCCGCCCACGAACAACTGCAACACCAGGGGAATTGCGGATGCGTTGCCGGCCTTTTAAAAAGGAGTAGTCTCTTTTCTTGAAGGTCCCTAACTCGTATCGGTCTGGAAAAATCGCTGGTGGTAATCGATTCCACAAGGAAGTTGTGCGAGGAAGAAAACATCTAAATCGCACCGTGGTGGACCACCAATCATTCAGATGGTGTGGATGGTATCGGGAGTTCTGCCGCGATGTGCGTTCTTGGTAAATTGGCGGCTGGGATGAATCCGAACAATTCCTCAGAGCACTTCCCGTGGTAAATGCGAAAGAAAATGCAAAGGGATGCAACATCTCTTCGCAACGTCAATGATGGCGCTCCCCAGTGCCAGACTGGGGAGAGCCAGCCCAGAGATGGGAACAGTATTCCATGTGAGGCCGAATCTGCGCCTTGTATGTCGTTGATATGTCGACGCCGAGGATTCCAATACTGGCTGAGGCAACAAGGGGATAGCCAATATAAATAATTGCACGTCTTTGATCTTGTATTCTCACTAAGATCATCATAGCTCATACCACAATGTCAATACCAATTTTAATATACTTTATTGATTTTTCTTGACAATCCTCTGAGTAATATGTGGAGGTCTGCGCTCAGCATAAGAAAGTATTAAGGTTTTTTATTTAATACCACTAATTTAGGCGGGAAACCGCCTTATAATTTCTATTATTATTAAGTTTTATTGGTATATTTCTAGAACTTGATAAGAATCGAAATAAAAAACATTAATTTTTTTAATTTTTTTTTTAAGCAACTAGAAAAACCCCCTCAATACGCTAGAATGAGACATACGTATGGGACGTTAGCGCGAAAAATTAACAAACGGAACGAGACAAGCAATCCTCGATTCTGGATTCGCGTGTAATCACGTATGGCATATATAAGTATAGATACATGCCACTGCTTTCATTATCAGTCTGTTGGTAGGATCGGGCACTACGAGTGTATGAACATTGAAAAGTTGCATCGCGAGCGAATCTTATTCTCATCATTTTTGCGCTGATGAGTTTGGATTAGTGCATTCCATTAATCGTTACAGCTATGGATTGCCGAGTTGTGGTACGTTTTAGTGTGTATTTATATTATATTTAAATTGTTTTGTTAAAATAGATGTCGCCCTGCATTATTGTTACATTATATATCAATAAATACTACTATTGGTTTTACCGGTAATCCTGTAGTGGTGGTGTAAGTATATCTACTACCCCATAGCGTCCTGTGGCCTATAAGAGGCGACGGAGCGCAACTAATCAGGTGATGACCAGAAACGTCATCCTAATAATAATTAAGAAGTACGAGTACAACTCTCTGCCAAGCCTTGAAACTATGAGGCAATCTATGGGAAAGGTGACTTTTGATAGACTGTACACGATTTCTTTTTAATATTGCTTAATTGTAATTTGCTTCTTGTAAAACAAAGTACAAAAAACAAGTTACAGTCTTATTAAATATAAAAATAAAAATAAATACAGTTAATAACGTTCAGTAAGCATAACACGATCAAATACATACCAGAGTCTAATCGTATATAAAAATTCTAGTTTTCATTTCAAAATGTCATAAAATTTCTTTCGTACATGCAAACGTATTACTTCAATAAACAGTGGAGTTTTAATTTAATTTTTTTATCTATTTATAAGTAAACGTTACTTTCACATCTATTTCACACGTCGTTTGCACGTTGTTTTTTAAAGTGACAATTTTTCCGACGTTCCAATACTGTTTAATATTTATCAATTTATCGAAACAGAACGGAGTTAGTAGACAGTAGAAGGATATATAAAAAATGCGCGGAACGCGAACTATAAATATTTTTCATGTCTTATTTTATTAAAAATTACAACATGGGGCTGAATTAAGTTGTAGACTGCACAGCTCCGCAGAAGTCAGGATGTTTGAACACCTAACTTATTACCGTTACCGTTCACTGCTGAACAGAGGTCCCCAATAAATTGCCTCGTAGGAGGGATATTTGCCATGATTGTCACGCTTGACAAGCGAGTTGGCAATCGCAGTTTTTATTTTTTATTTTAAGACATTATTAGGATGACACTGCTGCACATCTCCGGATTTGTGTCCCTCTGTCACCTCTTACGAAACCCACGGGATGATATGGGGTAGTGGTTAAATTTACACCGCCACTACGGGGCCAAACGCTTTGAACGCCTTACTTTCTTCTTACTTCATCATCATCATCATCATTACAGCCCGTCACAAGTCCACTGCTGAACATAGGCCTCCCCCAAGAAATGCCGCAAAGCACGGTCCCGAACCACCTGCATCCATCCACTTCCTGCATGTCATACCAGGTCGTCACTCCATCTAGTGGGGGGTCGCCCTACACTTCGCCTGCCGGTACGAGGCTACCACTCGAGAACCTTTTTTCCCCATCGGTTGTCGGTTCTTCGAGCTATATGGCCGGTCCATTGCCACTTAGCATACTAATTCTTTGGGCTATGTCAGTTACTCTGGTTCTTAATTATTAGCGGCAAATAACAAAACTTACTTATAATAAAAATATACGCTAAATATTTTCTATAAAAATAGGTTTTGTCAATTTTTCTACTTAACCGTATCTATACAACGCAAATTATAATTAAAGGTCGATTACCAATATTTGTGTCGACTGTTTATTATTTACTTAAATTATTGACTTTGAATTTAATCGAGCTTTTTTTCTTCAGTTTTAACTATCTCCTGAAATTTTCAAAAATTAAAATTAAAAAATTAAAAAAAATACATTTTCATTGAAGGCTTATTAATTAATTGATCATAAAAATAATCCCTAATTACATTTGTTTTACAGTTCTTATACATCGTTGTCTGTCTGAGTATTTTGGCTGCTAATACTGAAGGGTAAGTTATACCTAATATTTATAAGTTTTGTGCTTGAATGTTAGAATTAGATATTTCGAGGAGATACATCTTTGCTGACTTGCATCTGAGCTTTACTAGGTGGTAATAATATATATTTTTCGGCTATATTGGCAGAACCGGAGACCCTTTTTACTAGAAAAGGGGCATTCCATCTTAGTCCTCACGGCTGACAACGCATCTGCATTTTGATTCGTACTCGAGGATAGATGTAATTGTCTATGGGTCACAGCAACCACTTACCATCAGCTGGACTGTGTGCTCGTTTGTCACCTTATACTATATATATCTACATATATCTAATATGGCTAAAAGTAATCTGCTCTAGAATTAATAATTATTAGAATCTATTAAAGTCATTTATACGTATGTCTCAGACTAATAAAGAAAGATAGATAGAGTCATAGAATTCTATAATAAATGCACAAGAGAGAGCACTGAGTTCAAGGGTTTTTTTTTTACAGAATAAAGATGATAAAAAAGCGTACAGTGCACCTGATGGTAATTGAATTCTGTGGCCCATAGACATCTACATCTATCCTCAATTAATATTCAGAATGCTGACGCGTTGTTGTCTCTGAGGACTAAGATAAATGCCTCGTTTTAAGTACTTAGGGCACTCTAAAAGTCCCTTACAAATGTTTGAACTTCTAAGATGGAATGAATACCTAATGGTGAATCCTGGTAAGACATGCAGGAAGTCGATGGGTGAAAAATTGAATTGCTGAAACTATTTTGTTTTTGTTTAGGAACCAGAGTGCGTCTTATATTTTTACATAGTGTACGTCCGTATTTCTTACAAGTCCGTGTTAATTAAAAAAATTCTAACGAGTTGAAAATAATCATAGACCCAAAAATTTGTAGGATATCTATTTGACTGAATAAAAATATTCCAATAATTTAAACTGACATTGCTACATGGTGGCCTGATGTAATATTAATAAAAATACTGAGTTTAAAAGGGGGGCTATTTGCCCTATAAATGGCTTTCATTGACATTAATGAGTAAATCATTAAGTTTTAATTTTTTTTTATTTAAGGAGGAAACTTTCAATTATTTAAAAATGTCAGTTACTTATAACTTTTGGGCATTATTAGATTTTTGACCTTAATCTAATAGTGAACAAGAGTGGGGAACCTATTACAAGCTAGCAACGTGCACACACATGCGCGAGGTCAACCTACATTAATATATAAAGAAAATAACGCGATGCCCGCGTCACCAGTACCTACTAAATATCGCGTCATTTATTCTGTCTGCTACTGTAGGTGAACGAAGCAATATAAGCTACGCAGTTTAAAACAGAGCGACTGAGCGACTGAGAACACGTAAGCTTTACATAAAATATTTCTTCGTGGAGTTTCATTACCGCGATCACAGAGATTAGCCCGAACAGATGGACAGACAGCAGTTCAAACAGACAAATCTAAAAGTGATTATTCATGTCTTAAAGGCACATAGATTTTACAGACAGGCACTTCAATTTTATTTATATGTATAGATTAGCATATTTTCTAATAATTATTGTATTCGTTTTAAATTTGTTATTTCCAAAAGCTTTCCCTAAAATTAAATAAATCACAAATATCTTTTAAGAAAATTTAATCACTGCCACTTTAATATAAGTGATCGGAAATGAACAAAATATGTAGGAAGGATTTGTTTTTTTGCTTATCTATTTCATAGACAGGTGTAGTTACACTTGTAGATAGTAAATATTACCATGCCTAAGCCTATATAAAAAGTGCCGTAGTATAAAATATACTCTATATTCTAAAACTTTAAGTAGAATTTAGATGAATCGACGTCGTACATATTTTTGATAGCCAAAATTTTGTCTAGTCATTCACATCATGATACTAAATACAAGTGTTCTACTTATTGAAACGTGCGTTTCCTTCTTATTATTACCGTAACTTCTAGATTGCTTCGCGTGAGTGCACATTGTACCGCTCGATTTCCTGTTGTAAGGGGTGTATAACGCTTTGTTTACTCAAATTTTCCACGGTTCCGTGGACTATAATGATATGGTGTTGCAAATGACTATTGTGAATTATATCTACATGTTGATATATTATCATTGATGTATGGGTAACCGCAGGGTAGTTGACTATAAACTGTAACAAACGTAAGAGTTGAACCAATGAGAGCTAATAATCTTCCGCTCACCAGATGTCGATACTTGGCGCTAAGGTGAATGCTTTTGTTACGAAATGCCATTTACTTGAGAAGTTAATTTCACTTCACATGCCTTCTAAATATATTTTTTTCTTATTTCTCTAAAATGCAGGTTTTCTCATGATGTTTTCATTCACCGCCAAGTAAGTGGTAAATCAGCATATGAAATTACAATTAACAATTTCAATGATGTCAACGTGGATCGAATACGGGGAGCTCGCCTACTGTTACAGCGAGCGTTATGGCTTTATTAACACACTTGAAAAATGTATTTTAAACGTGGTAAAGCCATACTGAAGCTATATTAGTACTATAGTTGTAGCACGAATGGGTCGGCTCGACCGAGTAAGGACCACGTTCTCACAGAATACAAGCGTAAAATAGCAGCTTAACGCTGCTGTGTTTCGTATGGTGAGTGTAGAGAATCGGAGACCCTTTTAACTGGAAAAAAGGTATTCCACCTTAGTCATCACGGGCGACAACGCATCTGCATTTTGATTCGCAAACGAGCATACATGTAGATGTCTATGGACCACAGCAACCATTTACCGTCATGTGGACTGTGTACTCGTTTATCACCCTATCTTATAAAAAAAAATTATCGTAATTTTCTTATATACAGAAGAAGTTTATATATATATTTAATTTCATTTCACTAATTGTTGACTTTGAAACACGTCTTCACCTTAAATTATAGTAGATAATTGATTGCATTTATTATTAGCTTAATTAATGAAGTATAAAAATGTAATAGACTAATTATATATAATAATTTAAATTAAGTAACAAAATATATGCAAATAAAAACGTATGCTGAAGAAGTTATTTTTATATTAAAATATTTCTTTTTATAAAAGTTTGTTATTTTTTGTAGATAATGGCCTAAATCTAATATGTAACTTTAAATAAAAAATCATAGTTTATATTGTGAACACGATTGAGTTAAATTTTATTTATGTTAACAATTAATTTAATGAACGCAAAAACTTAAGTTATAAAATAATATAATACGAGTAAGCATGTTTGAGAAATATGTTTAATTTATTATTCATTATTCTGTTATTTTTATTTCAGACGCACGACAAAGATTGTAATACATGTTCCTTACAAAGTGAAGAAAATAAAGCATACGCACACTATATATAGGATAGTACATCATCACCATACTCACCATGATCATTTAGATCATGGACCGTCGCCGGTCGAGGAACACGAGCACTTCCATCATTTCCACACCCACGAGGAACCAACCATAGGCCAACACAGCCAACCGGTCGGCGGAACCAGCATCCCAGAGCTCCTACCCGACGCACCTTTAGACGTGGATGATTTTCCTGATTTGCCTAAACATTTATCCAGTATGCCATCACGACATTTCATACGTCCTTACAGGCGGCAATTTGTAAGTATATTGAACTGAGGTTATTTGTTTTTTTTTTTACAAATAAACTTAATGTACGTGGTATACTATGGTCACCGTTTCTTTTTTTAATTATTATAAGCCAGTGTTTGACTACTAAGCCTATTCAATCTTGCTTTAAACCTTTAAAATACCCAAATTGTAATCGGATGGTAAGACAGATGCCAGCAAATTGTTCCACTCCTGTATTATACACAAAAAAGCAATAATTGTTTGGTTTGAAAGCGTGGCTGGCGGCTCGCCCGCTGTAGTGAATCTGTCACAGAATTCTGTTGAATGCCACGGAATGCTGGCAATTCCAGGCAAATCCTCCCTCCCTATACCCATATCCCCTACAAAAGGCCCTAGTCGAACCAATTTTGCGGTCAGTTGAAAAAGAAGAAGGTTTTTACGTCGTAGAGCCATGCTGCAGCTATATTAGTAGTATAGTTGTAGCACGAATGGGTCGGCTCGACCGGGAAAGGACCACGCTCTCACAGAATACCAGCGTAAAATAGCAGCTAAACGTTGCTGTGTTTCGTATGGTGAGTGTAGAGAACAGGAGTCCCCTTTTTACTGGAAAAGGGGTATTTCACCTTAGTCATCACGGGTGACAACGCGTGATATAAATGTCTATGGGTCACAACAACCACTTACCATCAGATGGACTGTGTGCTCGTTTGTCACCCTATTCTATGAAAAAAAAAAGAAACTAAATCGCAGATGAAGAGAAGTGACTATGGGAAAACTTACCTATTTCTGCCTCCAAAATGCAGGCTGTGAGGCATTCCATCTTAGTTCTCAGAGGTGACAACGCATCTGTAGTCCTCATTGTTATCTGTGTCCTACTTACCACTAGGTGGACTGTGGCTACGCTAGTAGATATAATGCCATATAATGATCGCTGCGATCGTTCATCAGTCTGCTTGTGACAATTATTGCAAATCTTTCCGACGATATGACAGATCCAGTACCCATAACAGTGCAATCAGGAGAAGAGAAGAAATAAAAAAGAAAAAAAATACGAAATTTGTAGTACGTAGCACCTAAAAACTGAAAGCAAAGTTGATACAAGGTTCCAATCGTATTTGACTTTATGATGATATGACAAATTAATTGAACTATATTATATTATAGGTATAAAGTTTCAATCATATTTTTTTAATCTGTCTGTTATTATATTTAATTTCAGAATGCAGGACCGAAATAACATATAGGATATGAGGCAGCTATCAATATTTCCCAACATGAAGTGCTTAGTAATCGCAAGATCTTATCTTCTTGGAATCAAGAATCAGTATAGAATTTGCAAAGATGATGACGTTTGTGAATTTTGTTGTATAATATTACGAAAATATTATTTAAGTTTTTCATATATTATTTATTCTTATTCTTATATTTGCTTTTAGCATTTATACGTTATCTTCAAAAAAAAAATAGAGCCAAGTATTATCTACGAAACAGTCTTTCAGCAAACCACAACACTTCAGACACATTTTGATATTGTTTGTATTCGTACGTTATACAGGGTTATTTTGTAATACGTAGGACACTCAATAAGTCTTAAGATGTATTTAAGATATACATACTAGATACTATTGATATTTATTTTACATGTTTTCAAAATATTCTCCATCATGCTATACAAAGTTCCATTCGCCTAAACCAACTCCGAAAACACTTTTGGCAGTCTTGATCTGACAGGTCGGAAATGGCGTCTTCGTGGGCAGCCACGGCTTTTTCGGCGCTTGAAAAAAACTTGCCTTTTATTTTTTCTTTGACGCTTGATAACAAAAAGAAATCACAACGAGCTAAGTCAGGGCTGTAGGGTGGTGACTTAGAGTTTCAACACCAGATTCCTCAATAAATGCTTTTGTTCTAAGAGAGGTATGTGAAGAGGGAGAGGCGTTATCGTGATGCAGCATGATTTCCCGAAGCCCGGTCTTTGGTCTTCTCTACCGCACAGCTTAAAAAGCTTTGGGTAATGCAAATGTAGTATACCATTCAGAGTTGACTAACCTATATTTTTTGAGCAATGACGTCGACAAATGTCTGCTCCGCGAAAAAAACTAGCCACCATTTTTTTTGCCGACGTTGCGGGCTCTTTGCAGTTTTGTCGGTAACTGTCCTTCTGATTAGACCCACACCGATGATTGCGTTTTATTTTCCGTATGATATTGATAGATCCATGTCTCGTCACCAGTAACGATTCCTGAACCACGCTTAGATGCCCCGTTTTCAAAACGTAGACCCATTTCATGGTACCAATTCACACGAGTCTGTTTTTCGCTTTCGGAGAGCAAACGAGGAATCCATCGACAACAAAGCTTCCTCACTCCAAGATGTTGATGTAGGATGGTATGAATGCTTCTCGAACTAATGCCTACAATCTTTTCGATGTCTGTATATGTGATTCGTGGGTCAACTTGCACCAATATTTCAGTAGTCCATACATTTTCTGCCGTTACTGATGTTTGCGGGGCCCCGGTTCTTTGGTCATCTTTAATATTAATTTTATCCCTTTTGAATTCAGCAAACCACCTAAAATTGTTGCGCGTGATGGAGCTGAATCCCCTAATGCTGATTGTAGCCGTTGTAAACTTAATTGTTCAGTTAAAACAAATTTAAAATCATAATATATCCTAGCGCGCAATAGTTCACGGTTAAGATCCATCGTTTTAAATGAAAAGCGCGGGAAGTGTTGCAGGAAAATTAATAGGACTTTGTTTTTTTTTATATTGAGTGATTGGCTTATGGAGTTCTAATTTTACACGGGTGCGTTCCATTTTTAAATTTCGAGCATCTCTAAACTTATTGAGTGACCTACGTAAACAGACAAATTTGCAGAGAAATTCAAAATAAGTGATAAATTGTCAAGAAAAATTAATTATAAAATCTTTAACATTCTTTTATATCTTTTAAATTCAAAATGCGTGGTAATACCTTATTTTAACTAACTTTACTACGCACGCACTCATTCGTAAGGGTCGCTCAGTCGGCAAAAACGTTGTGAATTGAATCACACACAGAGGAGCTCATGTACGTTGTTGCCCGTAAATCACATTCTATTTGAGATAGTTTCAAATAAAGTAGAAGCCTTATGTACTCGGATTTTCAAAAGCTGCAATAACGGTATATCATTGTTTATAAATAATGATATACCGTTATCGTTGCCAAATTTTAAACTTAAGTTCAAACTCTTTGAAAAATAAACCTGTATACATAATGTTTAATGGCTAGAAATGTGAAAAGGGATCATCGTTTTTCTAATACGCAATTATATAAAAAAATTGTGTCTGAAGCTTCAATACACATTATGTTCATACTCGTGTTTAAAATTTTACTGGGATGTACATGGCTTAATACAAAATTTTAATTAGCAAAATCTTTTGTATAGCGACTTCTAATCAATAAATGATGCAACTTCTACGAATATATTGATGGGAAATATTGTGTTTATTGTACAAAACATAATAATATTAAACTATTTGTAAATCTAAGTGTGCATGACTTAAGTGCATTAAAAATTATGTATAACTTGGTTATACGTAAATTTTTAAAGTAGTTTAAATACACAAGTTATCATTTTCCAATAATTTTATGTGAAATTTCAATTAAAAAAAGTTTGGAAAATCCAAAGTGCACGACTCATAATGCTCATAATATGATCATCATATCATCATTCAGGTCACTCCATAAAGTCCAAGACGTATTTAAGTATATTTATATATAAATTCTACTTTTAGTACGTAGTACTATTATTTATTCTGTGCTTTGAAAATATTGTAATTAAAATCTGTGATTATAATAATAATTAAGCGATCATTTTGTATTTGTACAGCGATCTTTTTGAGTACGAGCCGCTGCAAACAACCGATACATTGTCCACTCACGACAGCGGCTGAGCTCGAAATGAGTGAGTGAGGCAGTCTATTTAGTAAAATAAATTATTACAAGGCTGCTCAAAACACCGAAAATTTCAGCATTTCTCAGCTAAAAAAAAAAAGATTATAACTAAACAAACAAAAATTAAACTGCCATTTACATTCCATGGCTTTCCACATGGTAGATGAAGAGTTTAAAAATTAGATTGAGTAGAACAATTGATATTTTCAAAAGTTATCGTGTTTAACCCTCCATGCGGTCTTGATAAATCCACACCATAGGCTTAGTGGTATCCACTTTTTTATGTAAAAATAGCAGTTAATCGATTTAAAAATAATTAATAAGTTTTAACTTCCTCACAATGTGCTTTTTATGTAATTTATATGTACAATATGATTGTTAGATACGATTGTATGCGACAAAACGTTGGAGTCTTGATTTTTGTTGACCCCCAGTAGAACATCCTACGCGCTTCGCGCTTTAGTATATACTTGAATTATGATAAGGTTTCCTCTAACAACTTCTGTACCAAAGATCAGGTAAAATACTGTTTTATATCGTAATTTAACTGTAATTTCACTAACAACATCATTCCTAGTGTAATTTAACTATATTTTCGTTTCATTTTGACTTATTTGCTAGTGTTAGTGATAAATACATAAGTACCTGTTACGTATAGCTAAAATGGTTGTTATTGTATTTTTAAATATTTTAATATGATACCTACCAGATGTTTTCGAAGACGTGTTAGTTTAAACCATAATAAAGAATCAGGTTTCATTAAAAATGTTTCGTCACTAGTTTATTATTTTTGTTGAAAACAAAGACCACCATTACTAATAATTTTTTTGTTGTTTTTTTTTTGTTGTTTAGAACCCTTTTCTACACAAAATAGAAGCGTTATAGTTATGTTATTAATGTAATTTTTATCTGATGTACCTTGCTTCCTTATTACATACTAGCGATCCGCCCCGGCTTCGCACGGGTGATTTCAGGATCTCGACTTCAGCACCATCTAGCGGGTCCAATTGCGAATCCAAACCATCCAGTTACCCACTCAAACATACACAAAAAGAAATCACTAGAATCGTTCGAGTAATTTTAGAGTTTTAGCGAGACTAACGGACAGCAATTGATTTTTATTTAAAGAAATGTTTGCATTAACTTCCCAGTCCACAAATATTGACAATCTCCGGTCGGAATGAAACTTCAAATTATTATAATATAATTTGTGTTTGCGTGGGTGTCGTTAGAAGTGAGTATGAGAAATGCTATGAAGATTATATATATCTTACATCAAGACGTGGTAGAGCCACGCTTGAACAATATTATGGTCGTAACACGAATTGGTCGGCTTGATCGGAGAAGGAACACGTTCTCACAGAATGGTGCTGTGTTTCAAATGTTGAGTGTAGAGAACCGGAGGACCGTTTAACTGAATACAAAGCTTAGTCCTCAAGGTGACAAACGCAACTGTATTTTGATTCTTAATCGAAGACAGCTATCGAAATGTCTATGGGTACAGTATACACTTACCATAAGGTGGTCTGCGTACTCGTTTGTCAGCTTTATTCTATGAAATAAATAAATAAAATAACTTTGATAGGTGGAGTTACGATATGGTTATTGTTGATAAAAAATTGTAACGATGGCAATACATGAGACCCAGGCGCAGTGGAGGACGATTTCGTGTGACTTTTATTGCTGTCAACTGCAAACTTGGCCAATATATGAAAATTGTTATTTGTTGGCTCTAGAATAATTAGATTGCCCACGTGACTACATTTGGACCAAATTCTAATATTATTTACAAACATTAGTCTCGGGTTGCATTGATTAAGTACTTCTTTATGAGTTGTATATTATATCATACAAATTATAGTCGATACCTTTTGTAACTGTGGGTTAACTCTTCTTTCTAATTGTAAGCGAGCAAATGAAAACGTGACCGATAACCTTGAGGAGGTTTTGGAACATATAGGTTGGTTTTCTTACCACCGAGCGCATGGAAAATGGAATGTGATTATATATCTTTAAGGCAAGAGTGAATTGGCTTGTGTTAAGGTACATCATGCACTTTACTACCTTTGGCTACATCACAACTAACCTTCAGGTTGGACAGTATCAAGCAAAAATCTATTTTCTAGATCTAACTTTCTTTAAAGAAACTAAAAATAATATAAAATCTCAATATTATATTACTGTCATGCAGACGATTTAGTTTGTGCAACGATATTGACCCTTAATATTCAGACGAAAGATGTAGATGTAAAGGAGAAGGAGACGTCTCCATACATTTTTGGGCCCAAATGTTAACAAGATGAAAGTAGAACCATTTGAAAGCGTACATATAAAAAATTCATAGCTGAAAATCTGGCAAAATTTGTCAATCTGGGAGCTGAGTTATTGTACAATAAGTAAAAGTGAGATTACTTATTACCTACATTGTAACAGGTGATTTTTCACTGTTATTACACTGTATCAGGCTATTTTTTACTATAATTACTATAAGATATAAAAGCAGGATTAGTATAAAATCCTCAAAAAAGCTGTGGTTTGAAAGAAACGAAATGGTGAAACCAGGTGTAACGATTAACAAAAGTTAAAACAACAACAACTAAGTGAAATGAATATTAGGGATATCGATCTGAGGTCGATTACATGAATTGTTGTTGTAACTGTTACTTGTTGGAATGTTGATATTTTTTATTTTTTATTATTATTTTGTAGATATATACGCAATTATTTTTTATCTCCCTAGTAACACTTAATAATCGAAAATAGATACTAAAGTGCTCAATTTAATCGAGACTCGATTATATTGCGTTCGTTTCAATTCGAATCGAAAATCTGTCTTTTCTTTTAAGCAAATAGTTTAAAGTTGTAACTGGCAAGTCAAGTTTCAAAATGAGAAGTACTCTATTGGAAGATAAGGTTCAGAAACAAGAATTTCACTAGCGTATTCTTTATGGTAATCGATTTATTGCCATAAAGAATACGCTACAATCGATTTTTTAACTTCTTTCTTATTTTATTGTTTTTTTCGAATTCTAGATTGTAGAAGTAACTACTTTTTGTATTTTACTTATGAAAAATATGGCCAATTTTTTAAAGTATAAACCAATTAGTTAACTTTAGGCCCAAAAATCCCATTCTTCTTTAATTGGAATGCCAAACTTCGGGAACAATCTTGCGCGACGTGATGCAACAAGCGACTTGGTCGTCGTAGGTCGTAATATATTGATAGATATATGGTTTGGTATTTTTAGTTACAAGATATACACGAATGACAAATATAAAAACTAATAAATATCAAAGGTAATAAATATAAATAAAGTTCACATGTAAACACAATTAATGTGTTTCGAATATCCTTATTCGAGGGATTCAATAAATCTAAAAAGGGAAAGGTGATTAAGTTGAAAGAGGGTAAGTAATTGGATGTCAGTGTTCCAAAGTAAACTATACGGTTTCCATCTTTATTTTTTATTAATAGTCGTACACCTAGTTGAGTAAAGATCAACGAACTTTTGCTTCTCTTCTGTGATTATTTAATACTGAAGAATAATTTGTCAACTTTAATATTAATATTATTTACGTTGTAGTAAAGAAAAGGTTTTACTTTCTCTTGTAATGTTTATCTTGCTACGCTATGTATTTTTAGTACAATGTTAAAATTATAAGAATAAAAATAGTTAATGTTACATAAAGAATAAAAAGAGCCGTAGTAGCTCAGGGGCTAATCATTCGCTGTAAAATTTTACAGTACGCGAGCAACCCGGGTTTGACCCCGCCGGCGTCAATAAAATTGTTAGTTGCAATTATAAGTGCTGACTTACCATGTGCTCCGCTCGAAAAAAAATTCGAAGACATGTGAAGTTAGCCAACATGCATTGGGTTTTATAGGTATTCAAAGTAATTTTATTTTACAAGGACATGTATGTGTAGTGTAGCAGTTTGCCTTTATTTTTAAGTTCGTTTTAAAAGTTAATCATAAATTAAGAAAAATAAATATATACATCAAAAAGAATAAAGTAACCAACAAGTTGTCTTCTAAGTGTAAGGTTCTCTCTGAGATATGAAACTAAAAACTCCAGATGTTATATTAGAAGCTTATTAATTTCATTAATTGACTATATTTTATACTTATTAGTTTACTTTTTAACTGTTTAACTGTTAACAAAGATACTAGACTGAACATTCGAACATCTATACATTCATCAAGAATCCTATATAGCTTTCAAGTACACGACCATAATAATACTAATAATTTATGCTATGTAAGAAATATTCACGATTTTATGATTGCATACAAAAATTTCAGAAGTAAATAATATATTAATTAAAACAAGATACAAAGTGGCTTTTAATAAACGTGAAAACATAAGCTAAAATCAAAAGAATTTTAAAAAAATCGGCTTTAATAATAGTGTATCGAACAATTAAAAATTTACAAGTAAAAATTATTTTGTCCTTTTTAGTTCTTATAAGTGTAATTTTTTTACACTTTTGAGTGGATTAAGCAATATTACAAACACAGGGTGGCAACTACAATGTTGTCTAGATATTACAAGAAACGCTTCCCTATTTTCCACCCTTAGGCGTTATTTTTTTCTTCATATTTAAATTGAACCCTCAAGGTAAGCCTATTAAATAAAAAAAGAATAATTTAATTTGGTTCATCCATTTCCGATAAATCGGTAAACATACATAAATAAGATACGCTACAAATATAGAACCTTATTTTAAAGCCGGAAAAAAGAACATACCTTTCCTAAAATTACTTTCGTCACATAAACAATAATTTATTTTGTGAAATATTCACGTTAACCTATTTTTAAAGAAACAAAAAATTCTTTGGAATGCGTAACACCAAAAGTATAAATGAAGTCAGCTGACGACAAATACGTCGCGAATGCTATGCAATAAATTGGTTACAACATCAGCCCTAATGGAATGCGTTTTTTTTTTGGAACGGTGAAATAGTTATTTTACACGACGACCGCAAAAAACCCAGCTAGCTCTTCACATTGCAACACTAAATAGAGCTTTTGTTTAGTCAGAATTAGATCGATTGTTGTACAGCTGGAACCCCCAGTACGCCGTCGCATGCTCCGTTGATAACTTCTATTGTTGTCTCTTTGTTGACATTAAGGTTTATTTAAGTGAAATTGGATAAATGGTCATCTCAGAATTTTTCGCTGTTCAAACCGGCGTGTTGTGGCCGCGGTGCGGTGCTCGGCTTGTGATACTCGACGGTCCAGTACTCTAAAATAAAAATAAAAAATCGGGAAGCAAGCAATGAAAGTAAAACTTCTTACGAATAACAAAATGTGAAGGTGTCTTAGTCGCTTGGTGTGGGCTCTGTAGATATTGGAGCGTGGCGCGTTACAGACTATTGAGGTGTTGCTCTGCCTTGGGAAATGGATCTATCAAAATACCTGGTGGTGCTAGCCTTGGTGTTCTTTGATGGTGGCGAGTCTGGAGGTCACGAAGATCAACAGTAAGTCGTGAAAAGTTATTTTGAAAGATGCGATTTGCTTGCGAATTTTATATATTTTTTAAATATAATTTCATAACTATCAGTTTTTCTAATAGTGACAAAATTATGTGGAAAATGTGCACAATAATTAATTTTTCTTCAGCAAATAAATAAATGTTGTTTCTTATTTTAATCACTTTACAAAAATAATTGTTAGTTTTTGAATTAATTGCTAAAGCGCATACGCGAAATACGATTTTTCACATGTATGTTCATTTGAAATAATTATTGCTTATTTTTTTAACTCTTGACCTATTCTATTTTGTTTATTTCACAGTGATCACGTGAGAGTGCACATACCAGAATTTATACATCATAATCATCATACAAAAGTAATAACGATTCACCATCATCATCACAAGCCGAAGAAGGAGCATCACCACCATCACCACCACCACCATCACCCAAAGCCACACATTCCGCATCATCATTACAATCATCACCACCATAAGACGACGCTTAAAACAACCACGGTGTCGAAAGGTCACAAGCATCACGGACACGGCCATCACGGACATCATGGTCACCACGGCCATCATGGTCACCACGGTCATCTTGGTCACCACGGCCATCATGGGTACCATGGCCATCACGGCCATCATGGACATCATGGGCATTATGGACATCATGGATATAATCACCACCATGATTCACCATCAGTCAGTTATGATCCACATCCGGTTTCATTTGATGATGACTTTAAGTCTTATACTCCACAAATACCTGTCAGCATTCCTCATAACCCGCACGTGCACGGCATTGTGCATACGGTGAAGCAAGTAAAAGTATTCGATTCGCTGCCAGGCACAATTCAAGTAAACACTGGTGATTCTGGCTCGCACGGTTACGAAGTGACTGAGGAAGGAGAAGGAGACGAAGACGCGTTTAATTCTATCAATACGATCCCACAAAGCTACCCTGCGACCTACGATTTTGTGCGAAGTGCTGCTCCACAACACACCGATTCTTACGCTGGTATCGCTCTTCAAAGCACCGTTCAATCGAGCCATGATCCTTTTGCCGCCGGGCCACAACCTACAGATTTTTCCGCCTTAGAGAATTTCTCCAGCGATGGTCAAAGTGATGCCTTCGCGGTCTCTTTGCCCGAACAAGGAGTATTATCGAATGCTCACGCTCCACCGGAATTCGCTTCGGGACATGTCAACCCTGAATCCGTATCTGGTTACGACGATCCAGAAAATACTTTTGTTGGCAACGACATAAGCGATATCGCATTTATTTCTACAGCTGAAGCTAATGATGATACTCCTGTTTCTTTTTCTAGAGAAGCTGGTATTCAACAAACTGTTAAAACCGGAGGTATTGAAACTATTGAATACTAAGAATTAGCTAAGGAAGTCTTTAAATTCGCCCGAGTTTGTGCGGAAAGATACGAATATACGACGTGGTGTATGAGGGCGGTGGAATCTTCTTTGTATTTTTGTTGTATTATTAGTTTAACTGTTTTATGTTTCACTTTACCGCTACTACGATTATCTTTCCATCGTAGCAGTAAAATCAAATATTTTGTAATTTGTATATCACTACAACTACTTGTTTTTGCTGGCGATATTATCTTATTGAACAAAAAGTTTCTTTTTACATCTGTTATGTAATATGACTCAGTCTTCTTTTAAAAGTAAAGAAATCTTTATAAATGGTGGAAAATGTAATACACTTTGTATATATTTTTATTTTTATCTGATATAAAATTTTGTCCTATATAAAAATATCGTCTACCTTCTTTTGTATGTGTTAGAAAAAAAATATATTGCCGTACAAAAATTAAGTTGTAAGTACAAATTGTAGACTTATCTAATTAGTTGTATTTCGTCTTAGTTATTGTTAAGTTTGTATTGTTGTGTTATGTTTGAATAAATGTTGTTTTTTTAACTTGTTATTTTTCTATTTTATGTGGTAAAGTACTTGCAACAAATAACAAATGTCGTTTGAGAGACCCGAGAGGGAGTATAAATATTGTAATATTATTTAACAATGATTAGTTCACGTTAAATGCATGTTTAAATGAATCTAATATATTATGTGTAATCTATTTTATTTAAGTTATGATAGGTTGTTTGATAACATAATGATATAATATGTGTTTTGAGATAACAATAATTGAATAAATAAGCAGAAGAAAAAGGTCTACAGGAGGAAAAATTGTAACGATTGACAAGACCGCGTTGCCGTGTAGAAAATTTGCGTCAGAAAGCACTTAATGTCAACAAACTGCACGCAATTCATTACACCCCAAAAAGTATAAACCAATGCCGTGAACAATTGGACATGCCCTAGTTTTTCAGTTGCGTAACAGACAAAATAAACGGTCTCCAAGTCAACGTAACGGCTACATAATATTTGATTCGAAACAGAAAAAATCGGCTGTCGAAAGTTACACAATTTAGTACATTTATTTCAACTATAGTTAATGAGAAAATAAGTACTATTGTATAATTATACATTTTTTTATAAGTCATTAGCATACTATTAAGTAGTATAAAAAAGCACGAACGTCGTAAGAAATTATATCGCAATGATATTATGTCGATAGATGCAGGTGGCTCAGGACCGTGCTTTGTGGCCTTTGGGGAGGCCTATGTTCAGCTGTGGACTTGTGAAGAGTTGTAATGATGATGATGATAATGATGATGATATTGCGTTGTACCACTTGAAATAATAGGTTTATATCGCCGGCGTCTAATCATTATTTTAGTAATTGTGCTCTGCTGTGAAGGCAAACATCGTGAGTACGGCTTCGTGGCGCAGTGACAATCAGTTGTTGCGCTGGGGGCCGCGGGTTCGAATCCCGCACGGAACAAGTATTTGTATGGCCTACAAATAATTGTTCCGGGTCTGGATGTTTGTCCTCGTACAATTTATGTTTGTAAACTGCCTCCACGACACAGGAGAAAATCCTAGTGTGGGGGTAACGTTTTTTAAAAATAAATATAAATAAAATATTTTAAAAATAAATATAAAAATATAATATATCTGAGGAATTAGCATATTTTAAAAACATAAAATATTTTAAATACTGGAGTAGCGACTTTATATATTAAATGAGAGGAGGCCTGTGCCCAGCAGTGGGACGTATGTCTGTAACATTGCTCTATTATCACAGTTATGTACTACGTACATTCTATAAATTATGTTTATAAATAACAGCCGTAAAGAAGTGACCGTTTGTCTGCCTGTCACAACTCTTATGCGAATGTGATTGAAATTTGCATACAGTTATAATATGCACTTTAATACGTACCTGATATTTGGTTTTGAAAGAGAAATAGAAAGCTAAAAGGAAATGGGAAGAAGGAATAAGACTGGTCTAGGGTGTCATATAAAAGCTCGTTCAATAATAAATGAATCATTATTGTTTCCTTAATTTTAATTCACATTTCTCCAAAATAATGTTTAAAAATTTGTACACCGTAACTTCAAATCATGGAAGAAAACACCCGAAAACAGAAAATAAGGTATTACTGGATTTACATTGTAGCACTTTATTGGACGTTATTTTGATAAAATATTGTTATATATTATACTTCTCCTTTGCATTTTTTTAAGTTATGACAATATGTTTACTGACAATGGTCTAATTCATCGGTATCGTAGAATAATGACTTCATCTGTTATATTTATTTCGTTCGATTCCTCGGTTCCCAGTTCAGGTAGTGACTTTTAAAAATTTTATGTATACAATGAATGCATTTTAAATTAATATTAATACTCCTTCGAATAAAATTTGGTATCTTCAATAGTCACATTAATTTTTCTCTAAATCTCATCCGCAATAGAAATGGTTGATCACAGCCCTATTTTTCATATATCCCCAAAATATAATCCCTAGTTTGTTATAAAGTCATTGCTCCTTTAAAGTATACGAAGTAAAGTGCAGCTATTACTGAGGGCGTTTTGGGACTTTGATTGTACATGATAAGACCCATGATAAGACCACTACTAAACTATTGGTCTCTGGAACAGATGCCGTTGAGTTAGCATAGAATAAACAATTTATTTTAAAAACAAATGATAAATAATACTTATTGAAAGTAATTTTACGCATTTACTCCTCGTTCGAAAAAAATCTCTGTCCTGGGAAGAAGCAGCGAAAAACCTAGCGGGCCTTTGATAGTAAAGAATCTGTCGTGCTAATGCGTGTAAGGAGAAATATTTAAATTTTCCTCCAGATGTCAATCTCTCATGCAGACGTTGCTTTCTTCTGATTAACAGATGATGTTATACGACCAACTGAAGTCGGATTTCAGTTCTTAGTTTCAGGTTATCGCTTTTTTTGCTTTTGTAGATATACAAACTACCTGCTCATCTTGTGAACATATCTGCTGTCTCAAATAATGAATGAGACGGAAGATAAATTCTTAAAACGCCCTTACCTACCTTTAGGTTAATAATTTATTATTAATAATTTATTATTAAAAAGTGATATCGAGATTTTGAAACAGTGTGATTATGATGTCCAATGCTACATCTAAAGTCTTTTTTTACATAATAATACATTGCAAAAACAGCAACTATGTGGGGAGACTGATCCCACCACATATTCCAAAGGGAAGGAGGCAGCTGCTCAAGATCTACGCTTTACAAAAGGCAACTGCATGCAGAGGCGTAGCCCACTACACACATTCCAAATATAAAGAGCAACTGTATGAAAATTGAAAAAAAAAACGGCAAAAAATGCGAATATGGCATCACACAAATTGCAACAGTCTTTCGACAAATAGCCGCGCAATTATAACAAAACTCTAGCAAGTTAAATTTCCACTGAATGCAAAATTATAACTCTTCTATATCTCCAGCATATCTTTCGACATTTTTGTTCACATATTTGAGTACGTTAAGAAACAATGAAAGTACTCGCGGGTACTTTTAATAGGAATCGAACAAAAAGATTTAACTTTTGGCTTAAAACGTTACACTTTACACTTTAATGATACGTGAATGTCGTAATACATAGAACAGCAAATTTCATTACGACATTCAACATAAAAAACGCGATAATATGATACGCGAGTCGCATCGTAATCCTTCACAAACGTAATAATAACCCTCACACTATTCAAAGATTATATGTGGATGGTAACAGGGATCTTTATCCCACTTCTCGTGTAACAAACTTTTCCACTTCTGATGTTTTAAATTATTCTCAAAAGTCTTTAAATAAAAGAACACTACTCGATAACAAACCCTGCTTACTATCAGGACCCCTAATTACATGATAACACCAAAGTATACAAACCAACATCATCATTACCCATCTCAATGTAACACAGGACAAGCCTCTCAGCAAACATGACCTCTCTTGCCTACACTAGTAGAATACCCCAACGGGCAGAGTAACGACAGTGGGACGTGGCAGAGCCATGCTGCAGCTATATTTATATTATAGTTGTAGCACGAATGGGTTGGCTCGCCCGGGGAAGGACCACGCTCTCACAGAATACCAGCGTAAAATAGCAGCTTAACGCTGCTGTGTTTCGTATGGTGAGTGTAGAGAACCGGAGACCCCTTTTTACTGGAAACGAAGCATTCCATCTTAGTCCTCACGGGTGACAACGCATCTGCATTTTATTCGTAATCGAGGTTAGATGTAGATGTCTACGGGCCACAGCAACCACTTTATTCTACCTTTGTTTGTTCGTATTTCCTTTTATTTTTTTTCCCTCTTTCCCATAAATATTATTTTTTGGGGTCTAATTTAATAATTCAATATAAACTCTCTTCCCGATGATGGAAATTTTGAACATAGCTCAGAATTGGATGACATAGTAACAACATGTATAAAAACGTATATTATAATATAGTATTAGAAAATAATCCATTTTTTTATTTCGCTTGTTGCCCTTTAATACTATCTTCTGAAAATGAAAGGTAAAATCTAGAATTTTAGGTCTGTATTTAGGTAACTGTGTATTTTATATTGTCCCGACAATTATTTAATTATAATAAGCCAGTGCTTTACTGCCCGAGGTAGCCGAATGAGGTAAAGCACACTGACTTACATAGATTAAAAAAACCTATTCACTCGATTTCTGCATAATAATAGAATTTAAGAAAACGTCTGTGCTAGATATTCTATTTTTTTAATTTACATGTCAAACAATTAACACCGAGGTGATTCCATGTATTCCAATTTTTAGGTATGAAACTCAAAAACAATTCAAGATTATTATATGTATCGGCTAAAAAAAAACTTATTTTTTTCGTATAAAATACAGGTAAAGTATAATATAATTAGAAATAAAGGCTATATTCATGTTTACAATACTTGGGCAAATAATAAGCACGAGGCATATAGCAAAATAATAATAATAATATCAGTATC